TAATTGAAATCCCATTTCACAATTAGAATAATAACCCCTTAATTTTAAAAAAGAAACCAAACCCGTTAAGGAAACAACACAGAAGACAAGAAATCCTCATATTATAATCTAGATCTCACCCAAAAAAAAAAAAAAACACACACAAATAATAAAAAAAAAAACCAATAGAATTACAAGTACCGAGTGGTGAAGGAGTTGAACTTGGGAGCAGGGGAGCGATTAGAGGAAGAGAAAGAGCCACCATCGGAAACCATCATTTGCTTTCAACTTTCAGTTCAGGTCTGAGCTCGAAACTCATAAAATGGGGAAAAAAACAGTCAAAGGAACATGGACAGAGACAGACCCATCTGCGGGGGTGATGGAGGGAAAGGGAATACTTGATTTGGTTTTTACAGGAATGGCCTTGGGATGAACATGGATTTGCGAAATCTCTCCTTTTTGGGGAGGGAAGAAGAGGACAGCCACCCCTTTTGCTTTTGCACTGTCACTTTGTCTCTTCCAAATATAAAAAAACAGGGAGGTGTGCTTCTTTTTCTTTGTTTAACACGCAGATGCAGAGGTCACGCCATGGGTAAAAAGCTGAAGCTGTTAATGATATATTATTCGAATTTTAGAAGTTTGAGGAAATCCAGAGGTTACGTTACCAATGGCGGCATGAAACTCGGACGTTATGTTTTCGTTTTGCCAAGGACGTACGCATTACAACGGTTAGCCCAGGACTTCTTAAACAGGTTTTTAGGGGTTTTAAGTTAGTGGTTAAAATAATTATCTATTTAAATAATTTAGTGATAATTTTTTTAAATAAAAAAAAATTTTTAGTTTAAGTCGCATGACATGTAAATAAAATGAAATAATAAATAAAAAAATTTGTCTCCATTGGGTAACAAACATAAAAAACAAAAAGTTAGTGGTTAAAATGAAATGAAAAATTACTTGAACTATAAATAAAGTATTAACTGAAAATTTTTTGATACTATGTGCTCTTTTTTTATTTAAGGGTTTTTTGTTTTATTGTTTAGATTGTAAAATAATATTGAAAGAAATTATATTTAAGTAGATTATTTGTTAATTAATTTAAAATTAATAATTAACAATTTAACTAATAATTGATCATTTTTATTATTAATCATTTAAATATTTTTATTTACTAAATTAAATAAAACTACTAAATATTAATTTTAAATTATTATATCAAATGGCCTAAGAGAGTCATAATGCACTTAAGAGAGTAAAAATTATCCATACATCAAAAATTTTAAAATTTTAAATTTAAACTTGGAAAAAATATAAATTTTTTTTTTCGTTTAGACTTCATCTAATTAGAATTATGAAAATATTTGAATTACATATTAAATTTTATTAAGAAAAAGTGTTTTGGTACTTTTATAGTCTTGTTATATTTTTTTTATATAACTTGAATTTAAAAAACACAAAAAAATTTTTATATATGAGATTTTATGCAACTTCAAACTAATTAGTTTTAAAATTATTGTATGTTTTATTTCTATAATATTTTATTACTATTCAAGAAAAAAAAACATTTATTGAAAAAAAAAGGGAGGAATTAATTGAGAAAATTTGGTAATTAAAAATTTTCAAATAAATAGATAAGTAGTGTTAAATTGGTGAATTTCAAAGGTCGTTGATGCTATATATTTCTAGATTCCTCCTCCAAAGTACAAACGCTGCAAATTCGAGATGGGTTTGCATGAGCAAATTAACAGGGTGGCGTTGTTGTAAATAGAAAGAAAAGGATGACGAAATTAAACATGGAAAGCAAAACAAAAGAGAATGTAAGCAGTGTGGTGAGTCAGCGGGGGAGACTGGACTGCACGGTACTCAATAAAGACTCAATTATTAGACACAACAACAAGTACACTTTGCTTTTGATTCCTTTTTATTTTATATTTTCATTTTAAATTTATTATTTCTAGCGTAGAGCAAAGCATTTTTTATATCAATAATTTATTAATATAAATAGGAGGAATTCGTTTTTTTTTTTATTTAAGGTAAATGTTTGAGTTTGAATTTTATAAATAAAAAAATAAATTTTATGGGAGTTTTTTTTCTTTATAGAGTCTAATGTAACTCGATTTTAAATTAATCTAAATGTAATGTAATTATCAAATTTTATAATGTTAATAAAGTAAAATAGATTCTTTGGCAAAAATAAAAATAAATAATAAATAAAAAGGTTGAAAGCGTAGTGAAATATGTGGTATCACATTATGCCAGCATACCATATTATCTTTCTAATTAGTATTGTTGGCCATCCCATGTTGCTCCAACTCCACACACATCATGAGGAATGAATCTGTATGGAAAATCAATCAATCATGCCTGAGAAATCGATGTACTAAATTACTATTTTGTTTGTATTAAAACTATACCCTAAGCAGTTGCATTGAAGTTATATATAGAAACTTTTCAAAAATTAAGAGATAATCACCATCGTTTCTTTATCAACATTATTTTTATGTTACATGATTTAATTTTAGGATTTTATTATTTAAGTTATTATATACCATTGTGTGAGTTTCCTCTCGTACCATCAAAGTTCAATTTCCCTTATCTCCATTTCCCCCTCCCCTAACTCTAATTCCCCTAGTTCAAAAAAAGAAATTATTATAGACCCTGATTGGTGCACACTCGGATCCAACACCCGGGTGTGCACCCCCATATAAAAAAAAAAATTGAATTGGGTGCGTAATGGGTATTTTTTTTTTTCAAAGGGGAGTGTGCACACCCGGGTGTTGACCCGGGTGTGCACATATCATTTTCCATTATTATATACCACTCAATTTTTTGAAAGATAAAAATTTTGAGATAATTGTGGATTTATTGATGTGTAGTGTGATGGTAAGAAAACATATTGTAAAAACAATTTTGAAAGAAAAAAAATATTAAAATTAGAAGATAATAAAAATTTTAATGTCTTTTTTTATGACTAGTATTAGTATTTTTACAGCATGCAATTCTTAAAGATTCACCCTACACACACAATAAAAAAAAAGCTACAAATATTGTGCAACTATGGGTGAAACTATGGGAGAAAGTATTATAAAAACAATCCCGAGTGCATCATTTATCATATAATCCAAAATTTTATTTACGCAAAAAGGAGGTAATTTTCTCCTTAAAAAAATGTTATACTTTTCCAATTTCTTACTCTATTTTTTGTATTAGTTCTCAGTATTTAAAAGTTATATTAGATTTTAATTAATTTAGAGTCAAGATGGATCAGACCACATAAAAAAAGAATATTTTTAAACACTAGTTTTTTATTTATAGAATTTAATTTTAAACTTAAGAGTTTATTTAAAAAGAACAATGTTCCTTTTACTTAAACCAATAGGTTGTTAATATTTCTTGTTCTGTTTTGTTAAAGTAAATAGTCTAGAAATTTCTTTGAGATAAATGCAAATTTTATTTAGGTATGGGTAATGATGTATAATTCTGAAAATCTTGGGGCAATATCTGTCTTTCTCTAAATCTAAGGAGTTTTTTGCATTTCAACTGTAAGCTGCAGGGGCATATACCAAAAACTCAAAAACCGGGAAGGCAAAGTGAAATTAAGAAGAAGAAATATTTGACTGCCGCTTTTTTTTTTTTTTTTTTTTTCGAACATGGGGGAATTGGGGGAAGGGGACTGCCACCTATTGGGTAGTCGGCATCACGGGAAGGGGATAAACCACTCCATTCAGCCAATCAACCATTCAGTTTCAACGCTGTTCATCAGTTTCCAACCACAAAATGCTCAGTCACAGAGTAGTGGCGCCGTCTTCTCTGTGAGCAATTGAATTCCCTACTAAAAATTATATCTTTCTAATGATAATGCTTGCTTATATCTTGAAGAAAGCTCAGAACTTTTTTATCTTTTGAAAATTTTGGTGGGTTTTTTTCTATCTTAACAGATGCCCAGTTGTTTCCTCTGATTGCTGTTGTCAACGATCTAATGGGTTGCTTTTTCCACACAATTTGAATTATGGATTTTGGCAAGGTATGTAAGCTTTAACTTGCCCTTGATTAGTTTTGAATGATTACTCAGTTTAAAAAAGCTGTTTCCTTTTTCATTGATTTTAAGCTAGACGGGAATAGATATTGATTGCTTGTGTGATGACCCTTTTCTTCTTGTTGGATTATTCTTGACGTGCCTTTATGTGTGATTACGGATTTGAGTGGATTTTCGGGGTTGAGTAATTTGGGAATTGGACATTTGTTTTCGCAGGAACCAGAAAGCTTAGGCCCTGTCGTCTCAAGGCTAGGTTTTGGGAATCCATCAGATCTGGGTACTATGAAATATTTGTTGGTTTTAACTGTGAATACTCACATGTTGCGGGTTTGCATTCTCTATCTATGCAATGTTTTGAAAAAGATTACTTTCATGAGGTTTGGTCGAATTTTGACCTCAAATTATTCTGTCCTTTGGCCTTTTTTCTTTTTCAAGAAATTCAGCTGGCAAGTTGCTTAATTCAGCGTGCATTTGAATTTTGTCTGAAGTTCTATCAAGTCATGTTAACTAGGCATTTTGTGTTGTGCATCTTAGCTATCTTATGTTTTGTACTAGTTTAGACAATCATGAGTTGACCTGACTAAACATCTCCATTTGTTGGGAGCAAATGGTCTCATGGTCTTGTGACTGAAAGTCCGAAATGCTACATAACCCTACTTTTTGGGGTTTAATGAGTAAGACATATTTCTGCTCCACTCCAGAGTGAACTGTGTTAAATAGAGTTCTCAAATAGAATTGCATTGTGTGCATCCCAGATTATTTGCTTGCAGGTCTTGCAAATAAGGCTTCAGCATTATGTACGTTTTTTGTCAAAATATTTTACTACACACTAATGAAGTCATATTACAATTATGCCATTGACAAACAAGTCAATCGGCCTCATAAATTAGTTCTGATTTGAAAGAGCCTTTGTTTGAATGCAGGTTTGTAAAGAATGACACAACACAGATTGTTGAACCACCCTCCACCAATGTAGAAGAGGAAGAACCATTGCCTGATGAATTTGTGCTTGTTGAAAAGACTCATCCAGATGGAGAAATTGAACAAGTAATATTCTCTTCGGGGGGAGATATTGATGTGTATGATCTTCAAGCCTTGTGTGATAAGGTAGCTCTTTGAGTATCTTCCTTTGAACGCATAAAAAACAAGAACTGCAAAGGAAATGACTATTTATATTATAAATGACGTGTTGTGCATGTAATCTTTCCAACTGCTTCTTCTGTCTTATGGAACTTGAATTGTTGACTTTCACAATCTGACATTTGTAACAGGTAGGATGGCCTCGGAGGCCACTGTCGAAACTAGCTGCGGCTTTGAAAAATAGCTACATTGTTGCAACATTGCATTCTGTTCGAAAATTTCCTGAGCAAGGTACTTAGTATTTTATTGCAAAAAAGTTACTTTGTAAACTTTGAATGCACTCATCTCGTTTTATTTATTCATTACAATCTTTGTTCACCTTCTTTCTTCTTCTAAAACTATTAATAAACATCTTAGTGTACTTGGGCAAGTTATTTGACAGAAGGGAATGAGCAAAAGAAGCTAATTGGCATGGCTCGTGCTACATCAGATCATGCCTTCAATGCTACCATCTGGGATGTTCTTGTGGATCCAAGCTATCAGGTATATTTTGTATGGCAGCCATGCTTTCAATGTTATCTTGCAAAATGAGATAAATGTAATTGCACATACACCTATATTATATAACATGCATTGTATGTGCAGTGTTTTGAAAACCTATCAGAATAATTTACATATTAACTTCAGTATGAGGAAATTTAGCATGCCAGTGGGAAAAAAAGTGGGCCTAAGCATGGCTTTCTTGAGAATCTTGATGATGTAAAATAGAGGACTTGGCTGCATGAGGGGCTAGAAAGGCCTTCCTAGTAAATAAACATGAAAAGCCTCTTTAAATCATACTGAAATTTTTATTAAATACTCATTAACTGTCCAAGGCAGCATTTTTTTTATTTTTTTCTACTTGGGATCAAGAAAAGTCCTTTTCTGAGGCTAAGAGTAAGAACCATCAGACCATTAGTACTTATACGTAATGCATATGTATAATGCTAATTATGTTCTCATCATTCAGGGCCAAGGTCTTGGTAAGGCTCTAGTTGAAAAGCTTATAAGGGCTCTTCTACAAAGGGACATTGGCAATATAACACTTTTTGCAGATAGTCAAGGTATCAGATCGTTTAAATATGCATCTTAATTTAGTTTCTTAGAAACCTTTTCCATGTGGTCATGTGGCTATATCCACATAAAATCGAGTTCTCCATTAATTCCCCTTAATTTCATAACACTTGTCACTGCAGTCGTGGATTTCTATCGGAATTTGGGTTTTGAACCTGATCCAGAGGGCATTAAGGGTATGTTTTGGCACCCCAAGTATTAGTTCTAGTTTTGGCTGGGCAAATGATTAGTTTTGACTTCATGGGCCAAGTTTGTTTGTGCATCTACAAAGCTCAGATAGGACATGGGAGTTTGGGGGAGGAAATCTGTAAGTTAATATTGATTGTGCATTTGTAATTGATATGTTAATTGTTAATGCCTTTGTGATGAGTATGTTGGCCATCTGTTATTAACTCAAAAAAATGATAGTTTTTAGGGTTTGCTTCTTCCTCCAGTTACTATGGAACTGCTGGTTATTACCTACAAGATGCATATGTTAATATAGATCCCTGTTTGATAACTCCTGTACAGGCTATACTTGCCAGGTGCATGTAACAAGGATGATAGGCCCATTCTCAAAGAATTATTTTTCATTCAGTTATTGACAAGTTTACATTCAATAATTTGATTTGAATTGCATATTGTACTCTGTTCTCTCGTTGGCCAATTAATTGGTTGCAGCAACCTTTTTGTTATGGTCATACTAACTGTCTGTTAAAACATGAACAAGAAGAGGTCTTATGATCTGGATTTTGCTAATGGTAAAAATATTCACGAAAGGATTTCTTTTCATTTTTTCTTAAAACCTCTTAAGGTAGGCTTTATATCCTCCTTCCTAGATTTTTAAGGAGAAGTTTATTCCATACCATATTTTCTGGGTCAACAAGTTTAGTTTATACTTGAGTTTGATACCAATGCATGTCTGATGTTAGGTTAGATATGAGGATCTTGTTATTAAACGAGTTAGTTGGGAAATTTTTATGAGATCCTTGTTTTGTTGTCCAGCTTGTACTTTACTGCAAAATAGGGACCATTGGATGGGGGGGATAGCCCTCAATATCAGGGGTTCTATCTTCCATATAATGATTTAAGTTGTGTAGTTTGGACTACACAACACTTATTTTTGAGTTTTTACTAACAATGCAATTGGAAATCAATTTATAGTGTTTTGTTTAGATCATCTACTTACTAGATTTTCCGCAGATGCATCAATGAAAAGCAATTTCGAGGAACTACATGATACAACATTGTTCTACTCCCTTCATTAAATAAATTTCATATCTTTATCATATTTAAGTAAACTTGTTGTGAAACCTCATTAAACCTCATTTTAATAAGGTCATCTGTAAGCCAACTGGATATCTATTGCAAATTTGCAACAAAACATTATCTCTTTTTGTATCCTTTTTTATTTTAATGTTGGTTAAATGTTAAATTTGGTCCCTCAACTTTAGTGAGTTGCACATTTTTGGTCCCTTAACAATTTTTTGCACTTTTTTGATCCCTCAACTATACGAAATGCACTCCGTTAATCCTTCTGTTAGTTTGGGCCGTTAACCTTGCTTAGTTTGGGCCGTTAACCTTGCTTAGTTGGTATTTTTTATATTTTTTATGATGATGTGGAGAGCAAAACTTAAAAAGGTGATGATGTGCATAAAACTTTTGC